CTTTCAGTTGGCCGCACCGCAGCCGACTCGTCAATAAATGAGTACAAAACAGCGTTTCCTAGCACCTGTCGCTTACTGATTGCTTGGAATTATAAATATGAGCGTAGTTCGTCTGTTAATATCACAAGCACTTTTTTGTTTGTTGTTTTTTTTAGTTTGTTACTCAGACGCAGGCAGTGCGCTGCATGAGACAAAAAAGTAATATAGCCAAAACAACCGCATAGCCGCTCTTTAGTGTAGATGTATGTTGATTTTATCAGACGATGCCGCGATTATAAATGAGTGACTCCTGGTTAACATGTATTAAAAGGGGTCGTGTTTAGTCAATATTAATGTGGTATTTTTTGACAATATTCACTCATCATGACCGTAAAATAGGGCATTCTAAATCAATATACTGCAGTATTTCCTCTTTCAATCAGTAGAAAATATGGTTAACACCCGGTCATGCATGAAAAAAAAAAAAAACCTTCATGTACCGTGAAACCATGTATAATTTTGAAAAATACAGTGATATAAATTTTTGGTCATACCGCCCAGCACTATGTAAAGATGACTAGAACTATATTAGCATCTGCACCAATGGATATGTCATCTGCCACTTTAAATGCTCAAGCTCTTTAAAGGATTCTGATTATCATTCACCAGCTGGAAAAAAAATTTATCTGAAAGTGATTCCAATGATTTGTTCCTCTGTGTTGTTATCATTGTAGTTGTGGTGTGGCCTTCCCTATTCTCACAAAATGTTAACAATTTTTAAAATTTCATAGTTATCATCCTTTGTGTGAACAGGCCTTTACTTGGTTCCAACACCTGGATGCTTGATAGTAAAAATTTGATAACTTTATACAATATTCTTTTGAACACATTCTCAAAGATTTGCAATCCCAGTTAATTTCACACAACCTAAAGCATATAACTAGTCCAGTGGTGTTGGACTTGGAGAAGAAACTTGAGTGATATAAAGCATAAAATGAGACTGAGTTTCATTTGTTTCTTTGATCAAATCCTAGAAGTACATGATTGTTTTTACCTTTCTGTTCTGTTCCTTACAGCTGATGCATTTATTGTGGAGTTGAAGGAAATTGCTTTGTCTGTACGCAGACAAATACAGAGCCACTACAACATCACTGCAGAAAACTCTGACAATATACAGAGGTAAAAGATTTGGATGTCATATTGTGAAAGCATGCTCTCGGAGTCCTATTTACAATGATAGCTGTACAACTGTTAATGCTGTTTTGGTCTCTCTCTCAATCTTAGGTCCATCTATGAATCCACTGTCAGGATGCTGAATGACATCCTAAATCCATGCCAACAACCAAACAGTTAAATAGGCAAGCTAATCATTTAGAGCTTGTGCATATTCCCACAAAATTCTTTATTCCTTATTTTGTTCTCTCAACTGTATACTGTCTTGCATGTTTTTGTTTTCCACTCTATATACAAGAACATTCACTATATAAACAAAACTTCCATAAAACGTCACCTTGGTTCACTAGGATCACTATTCATTTTATTTTGTTCACTTTCAAATGCAACAGTGTTTCCATTGCATATAACTGTAGTTTATAATCTTATCAATCTACTAAAAATCTTCTATTTTGAAGACATTTCAGTGAATCTGGTATATCCTAAGATGATACTTTTAAGGTTTAAGGTGTCTTTGATGAGATATGTCCCTTCTATTGACCTTTTCTGCTTTATCCTCAGATCCATTCCAAATACTGGTCTGAGATGTGTTGTTATACTTCTACTTTCCCTATTAAACCATAGAAGTGTACAGACAAGTAATTGCTAAATGTAAACTCTGAGATATGTATATGTGATTGATTTTTTTTTTTCTAATCTGAGGTCTTTACAGTGTCACAGTCTATAATCATGGTGTGAAATAAAGAAAAAGCACATTAGATTAAATCTGATTTTGAAGAAACTGTTGCTTAAACCTGAGCTTGATTGAACTTGAAACTAAATATTTGGGTGGATTGTGACTTCTACTGATACACTGTTATTCTCTCTTTTTTTTATGTTAGCTTTTCCTGCTAAATGTAAACTCTGAGATATGTATATGTGATTGATTTTTTTTCTTCTAATCTGAGGTCTTTACAGTGTCACAGTCTATAATCATGGTGTGAAATAAAGAAAAAGCACATTAGATTAAATCTGATTTTGAAGAAACTGTTGCTTAAACCTGAGCTTGATTGAACTTGAAACTAAATATTTGGGTGGATTGTGACTTCTACTGATACACTGTTATTCTCTCTTTTTTTTTATGTTAGCTTTTCTTCACATAACCCTAGTAATACATTCCCATTAATGCCCAATTAAAACCCTGTCCCATCTTTTAATTAATCCAAAAAAAAAAAAAAAGTCCATGGTGTAATCTTCAATGTCTCTGATTTCGAGGGTATGAATGGAGATTGTTTGACATGCTAGACTATAGCATACCTTTGGCTTGTTTATTCACCACACATGTGGCATGTGATTTATTGTAGTGCGTTGTTTGTCAAGTACATCACACCAGCGTTTCGGTAGGGGGCACAATCTTTGAGCAAAATAACTGCGCTCGAGAGCAACGGAGATAACCCTACCCTTCCTCAACCGCTTCTGTCTGATGAGAGAAGTGCGGTCCATCGCTTCAAACTAAATGCAACTGACTGCGGAAGTCTTAGAAACACACCGAGAAAGCGCATGTAGCTAGTGACGTCAGTAGCTGAGGCGGGGCGCTGGCCGTGGTGCTGAAAGCGCCTCGCGCCTCTTAGAGTTGAGTACAGGACCCGGGCTAGCAGAGCATCACTCATCTCACTATCCTCCGTCTCATTCGCCTCTGACCTACTTCCGCTCTAATCACATCCCTCCTGAAACGTGAGAGCCGCTATGCCGAATTAACGAGAGCTGTTTGGGCTTGATGGGCAGGATGGCTTCTGTGCTCGCGCTGCTCCTCGCCTTGCTGTCTGTCCACGCGCTCGCCGCTGCATTCGCGGACAGGAAATTCGGTAAGTTAGTTTCACGTGACGCCCCACTAAGTGTGTGATGTTTGTCGTCCTTCCCTTTAGAAGTAAGCCAACTTGTGTTTGTGTATGTCTGTTTTCCTTGAGTGCAATTAATGAGGTTAATCACAGCAGCGGTTTGGCGTGCAGAGCTTGATGTATGATTTTATTATTATTATTATACATGACTCGACTAAATGTATCCAACTGGTTTGTTAACGTCATGGTAACATAAAATCCTTCACCCTTAAGTTATGAGATTTTGCAGCCCATTAGGGATTTCATTCTGGGTCACATGTACCTGAATCAGCATCCTTGTTTCTTCTGGAGCAGTTTCCCCATCAACCAATCAGATCTCAGGGATGTAAAGGGCTTGTACACTTATCAACGTATCATTTACTTATTGCACCGGAGAAAAAAAAAAAAGCCCAGCAGCTTGTCATTTGGGAAGTAGCCTTAAAAGGGTCATTTTGTACATTATTTGGGTTCATGGTACTACTTTAAGGGCGCATAATACTATTCCAAGCTACCAGTATGCACCTATTACTGGGTGCATATTTATTTTTTAGGTTACTGTCACAGTGATGAGCTGAAAGTACAGGTTTTGCACATTTTTGATGGTGTATTTTAGTGGTAGTTAATGGTGCTGAAAGGACTGTTGTTCCAGGACAATCAAAATCTGCTGTTCCAGTAACGTGTTCTGGTCCTTAATAGGACATGTTTTAGGACAGTTACCTCGGAGCCTTGTTTCCTTGAGCATGCAGAGCGCATAGGGTCGCCAGACAAATGGAAGATCGTTCTAGTGCTCCTCACTGACAGTGGATTACATAATCGCGTTACGGTTCGTTAAAGCATCTTGGCAGGCTTCATCTTTCAAAGGCACAGGCCAAGAGCGAGAGCCAGCCTCAGCTGGGAAGGACTCGGCTCGAGCTGTAAACCGATACAGCTTTACACGCTTCATGAACCGGTGCATCCACACATCGATAGTGAGGGAGCTTTGATCACTGAAGAGACAAATGACTGCAAACTTTATTAAAGATTGGAGCCTTCAAAGACTTGGGCTAGTTTATATGACATTTCCTACACATGCCATGTGCATCAAAATTTTGTTATAGATCAGAGTCGTGGCATAGTGGGTAGTCCATGTGCTCACAGGAATGCAGGTTTGAATCTGGCTTGTGTCATGTTAAGATTGCATTCCCAGTCTCTCCATCTCACCAGCAGTCTTGTTATAGACTTATTTACTTGATCATGTGGATGTGTATTAGTTTTTTGAGAGCGTTTTAAATATTCTGTTAGGGCTGATTTATATTACATTCACTATACCCTGAAAGTTGAATTCATTGTTTGCAAGCTAAAAGCCAAATCACGGCTTGTGATTCTGATTCTGAAGTTTTTTCCTTGAATGCACAACGTGTTACTAAATGATTTGCAAACACTCAGCTGGGTTTGCTCAGCATCATTGTTGTTAAGCAAGCTGTGGTTGGAGAACAATGCATCATGTGATGGGTATTTAGAAACAGGCACACTCTGCGGCTGGCATATCAGGTTGGCAAAGGCTGGGATGAGCAAGTTCTTTGAAGCCCTGATGAATAGAGCAGTTAAGCATCTCCAAACAGTCTGCTGGAGGCTTATACATGTATATCACTGCATTCAGACTGATTCTGGGTCTTCAACTTTCTCCATCTTTCTTTTTCTTTTTTCTTTTTTTTGGTTCTGCATGAAAATATCTGGTAACACCATGAAGTCTGTATATTTATAATGAATTATAAGGATATTCTTAATTAATTATAATGCATGCATAATGCCTTATAAAAACCCTTATAATATGTTGTATCTAAAGCTGTAACCATATTTTTTAATTAAATAGGAAAACTTAAAATTTTTTCAAAACAACATAAGAAACGTTGTCTTGGCAACTAACAGAAATAAGTTTAGGATGAAGTACAAAATGACTTCCCTGGAAATCAATAAAAACTTAAACTGATATAAACATAAACCTAAAAAGTAATATAAAAAAAAAGGAATAAAAATGATGAAAGCACATAACAAAATTACTGAAAAGGAAACACGACATAAATGTACCTCATAAAGTTGTTGTAGGGTACTGTGCAGATCTTAAACAATGTTGCGATATGAGATCTTTATAACTACAGCAAATATAATCCTTTAAAATTTAAGTGGATATAGCATGGTGTATGTTGTGTTTAAATCATCGTACTCTTACATGTCATAACGTACTGTTATAATTATTTCCAATGGCATGGGCACAGAGTGTGATGCTGGATTTTTTTGGACGGGATTTAGAGATTCCAGAGACAGAAACGAAGTGAGTCAGACTTGTCCTATGAGAGATGCAAATGGTCAGAGGTTCAGAATTTTTTATTTTGAAGGTTTTGTTATAGTCTTTGTGATGGTTGGATTGACAATCAGTGTGTGTGTTTATGTACACGCACAGAAGCACATTGTTATTTTTAATAAGTCCCTCTGTGTATTATGTTTACGTCATCTAATGAACATGATATAGGAGATGGTAGTTTCCCTGCATCCTCTTCAGCAGCTCCATGAACTTCCTGTGAGGAGATGGAGAGTGTGGGAGATATTTCTCATCTCAAATGTACAGGAAGCAGCAGAGATTCAAACTGAGTTGTTTTAACAGAACAGATTATTTATGGCTCACTTAGAATCTCTGGTGCTTCCTGGAACAATATCTCCCACGCCTGACACCCCTAGCTCATGAGCATCACAGAAGAGCTGACATTTTCAATTACAAATAACTGACAGCATTCTTCTCTAGTCTCATGTAAACGAATATTCCGTTGAGTACAAGTTATGCTCAAGCAGTAGCACTTGAGGCATATTGTTGTTTACCACAAAAAATACATAAATAAAATAATCAGATTGTCCCTCCTTTTCTTTAAAAATAGCAAAAATCGTGAGTCACTTAAATAGGAAGTGAATGGGGCCAGTTTGTAAACATTAAAATACTCACCATTTCAATAGTGTAGGCACAAAACATAAACATTATGCTTGTTAACATGATTTTAGTGCACTGTAAAAATGACTTGTAATTTTAACAGTAAAAGACCATAAATTCTATGGTAAAAACCTGAAAAGGGCCGTTGGATTTATTTATTTATTTATTTTCAACTGTGACATGTACAGGTTGTTCTGTAAAATTGTTTACAAGTTTAACTTTGTTTACAGAATTATTCTGGCAACTACAGCTGCCAGTTTTATTCTATTAAAAACAACAGATTTTTTTAAAGTAAAAACTCATTTCAAATACTAAATTTAAGTTAAAAAGGACTTACTAAAAATTACTTTAAAAACACTTAAAACGACAATAAAAATGTCAGGAACACATTTACAGCTCAAGTAATAAGACAGTTTTTAGAGTACGTTTTATCAGACAAATTGAAGTGCTTTTATAAATGTATACACTTCACATTTCTACTATCCTCTATCCTTCACATCCTTCACTATCCTACTATCCTCTAAAAACGGACCCCATTTATTTCCTTTGTAAGTGCCTCACTGTAACCTAAATTTTTGCTTTTTTAATTTATTATTATTATTATTTTAAGAAAACAAGGGACAGAATTATTTTTGTACTGTCAATTGAGATGAACTTATAAGGAATATTCCTTCAGTGTTTAGATAGTACGCTCTGACCTCAGCTAATGGTCAAAGGCTATATATAGGCTACTGTAGGTGTTAAAAACATAGATAAATGGACAAAGTTTGAGATAGACATGACCCCCGGTCAATTATCTCAGTCAATTTGTATTAAATAATTAATTATCTGCCTCTGTCTCCATATCTCATCCAAACCATTCACTGAGGTCTGTTTAAGAGAGAGATTATTTCTGTGAGCCCTGTGAGGTTCAACTTCTCAGTGCGTTTAATAAAGCTGCTGTCAGGCAGGTTAGAAGAAAAGAGA